CCCACACCCACACCCACACCCACACCCCACACCCACACCCCACACCCACACCCACACCCACACCCACACCCACACCCACACCCACACCCTCCTAATTTGCAATTCTAAAGAGTGCTCAGAAAATAAGATATGTTTTTTATTAAATTTAATATCTTATCTTTATTCTTTCGTTCTTAGACAACTTTTTTTTATAAATTAAAATGAACCATGAAACAATTGAAAAATTCACGTCAGAATGACGAAATTGAAATGAAGATTCATAAGATAAGAAAAGAGTATAAAATAAATCAACCATAGCAATTATTCGATATTTCATCAATAAAATTTTTTTAAAATCAAAATTGATGAATAATGTGTGCCATAATATTTAAAAAAAATGAAAAGAATAAGTCGAATCAATTAATAAGTAGCAAGATAAGTAAGACATATAAAGATATCTTATTCTTTCGAACGTAATTGATGGTAGAAGAAGCGTATCGTTAATTATACTTTTTTTGTTATTTATTTATTAAATTTAGGCTTTATAAATTATAATTTTAGTTAGAAGTTTTTTTGTCATATATATTAATCAATATATTGTTCACTTGATTATTTCATTCTCCTATTAATCTGTAAAAATAAGCATATAAATCAATGCGTAAATTTTCGAAACTTTTTTTAATAATAATATTCTGATAATCATGTGATGAAGAGGGAGAACAGTTTGTGAATATTGACACTTACGTATCATATTGGATTAAGCATTTTATAATATGTAAGAAAAAAACTAATTGAATAGTAGGTGAATAGTCGGTAAAAAAAATTACTAAACAAAGTAGAGAAGACAAACGAAGAGAGAAACAAGTATGTGAGATAAATGTGCTTTCTTCTATGATTAGGCACTGTAAAAATAGACATATAAATTTAGTATTTATTAGTGAATAAAAATTTTGTATATTAATTAATAAAGCGTTTGTGAATAAAATAAATAAAATCAATTAATTTTTTTCCACGATAAGATAGCATTATTACATTCAATATCTTTACAATGAATACAGTATGTATAATGTTTAGTATTTATCATGATAGCTAAAGTATTACGTCGATGATGACCTTTTTTTTTGGACAATATCTGTAGTTACCTGCTATATTAAAAAATAATAAATTTTTATTCAAAGTACCACGAACATATGAATGTACATAACCTCGATGAGATGGTTCAGATGTAATTATGTTTTCTACAAAATTAAGAAATATTTGTATATCTGTGGCAGATAAATTTAGCTTATTAATTGCATTAACATCCATTGAATTTGCCGAATTTCGATCTGTATTAATGATTGTGGATGGATTACAAAAAGACGTAGGATCTATATGTTGATTAATTAAGTTAATATTTATAAAATTACATGATAATGTAGTTATTGGATTAGAAACAGAAGATAAATCAATCACAAATTTCTTATTCTTAAAATAAATTTTTGATATTTGATCGTATTCCATGAATGTGATTAAAGACTTTTTAAGAAGATCAGAGGATGAGTATTGTGATTGACAATGAAAAGGAAATATACTTGATGGAACAAGAGGATTATTTTTTCCGTATTTTACACTATTGAACAAACGAAACTGTTAGTTTTTTGAATAAACATTTGTACCGATCGCTAAGGTCCATTCATTTGTTTTATTTCGTACGAGCAAATATGCAATATCAGCGATTGAAACATACGGGATTGATAACTTACATCTAGTACAATTTTTTCGTAATGTATTTAGAGATGGTGCTAAATGATGCATCAAGTTTGACGTACTACTGCATTCCTCTTTTGATAAATTGATATTAAACATTGAACATTTATGTTGAGTGATTGATAATAGTAAAAAATGAACAATAGCCTTGATAAAAATCCCGAGAATTGATGTATTTTCAAATAAAATTGATGGCTTTGCATGTATAAAATGATATGATATTTTTTCATCTGTTGAACTGAAGAAAACGCATTCAAAAAAAATTGATCACACAAGATAAATATAATAGATATGCATATATACTTTTATCAACACAACTCAATTTTAAAAGAGAAAATTATCAAAGGATTCTATGTTAGTTTTAAAAAAATCCTTATTACTTACGCTTCTAAAACAAGAAATTGCTTTAAAATGTTTTCAGTATAAGTTTCAACTGAAGTAATAGTATCATCTGGACCATTTAAAAAGTAATAGAGAATTTTAAGACAAGATATAGGAGCAATGTAATGATTTTGTATATCAAGATTTTTATCGACCAAGTATTCGAAATCAACATATGCTTTGACCGTCTTATTTGGAGAAATAGATTCATATAAAGTTCGATGTATTACAGGACAATATTCAAATAATGTTATTAATTCTTCAATAGTAAGACAACAAAATTCTCGAGATTTATTTTCTTTTTCAATACACCGAAAAAAAAATTGGTTTATTACTGAACTTAAAAGGTTTCCCATTTTTTCACCGAACTTTTTTAGGTTCAGTAGAATAAAAAAAGTTTCGTAGTAATATTAATAAACTTTTTTGAGTTCAGTAGATTTAGTAAGGTTTAGCAGTTCTCAAAAGAAACCATCTGCCGGTTTCGTAATATGTCAACGAAACCATCAATGGTTTCGTAACTTCAGTAGAGGTTTCGTCTATTTTTCACGAAACTATCCAAGGATTCGTAGCTTCTATGAAGGTTCCGTATATTTCATACGAAACAGTTGATGGTTTCGAAGGTTGTCAAAAGGTTCAGAATATTTTATATGGAACGCTTGATGGTTTCGCATATTAACCAAAGGTTCGGTATAAGTCACACGAAACGATCGATGGCTTTGTACATCCTTCAAAAGTTTGGTAGATTTTTTGCGCAACTATTGAGAGTTCCGTAGACTAACTGATGGATTCGTCAAATTAATAGTGAACGACCGATAGTTTCGTACTTCATTTCAGGGTTTCGTAAGTTCTACACGAATACTTCAGAATTTCAGAGCACTCCCAAAAGTTCGGTGTATTTCATACTGAACTTTTGATGGAATCCTGTACCATTCGATGGTTCAGTAAAAACCTTTATCTATTTCGTCAAAGTGTCAATAGTTGTGCGTGAAGTTCACTAATCCATTACAAATTCCATGAAACCATTAACAGTTTAGTATAAGCTATACTGAACCAAAGTAGATTATACGATGCTGCACATCGTTTCGTACAAAATTTACTGAACCTTCATTTATACTACGAAACTATACGCAGTTCTATATAAATTTTACCAAACGAATTACTAACAACAGGGAACTACCGAGAGTTCAGTATTGAGTGTACA